GAGAGTGAGAGAGAGAAGATTAAAAAAAAAACCTGAGATTACGTGAACATTTTTTAAATTATTTTTTTAAGAGAACTAATAATCTCGAATCTTAGCGAATGTCGGACTCACCGCGATATATATCAGATCTCGTCGTTTCAGCGATATTCAATTCCACTGATGTTACTACTGCAAGCGGCGGAATAATATAAGGCGTGTGTGTGTGAGACAACAATTTCGCCTTTCTCAGCTGTATCTAATCGACTGACGACGGTCGTCGGCCTCAATCATTGATTGAACTTCGACGATCATTCGCTACTTATACCGGAAACAGGTTTGAGCAAAAAGATTCAGCGATGGTACACCGATGTTAATCGAATGAGACATGTTAGCGAGCTGACAAATAAAACTTTCTAAGCGTCGGTCGATGCGCAGCATCACATCCGCAGGATCCGTGACGCCTTTGACGTCTCGAGAAGTAACGGCTGCGCGTTATCGAGTACCTGCCACAAGAATCGCATCTTACAAATGTGCTTTCGAAGCGATCATGGATCGCCAGGAGATCATAGTTCAGAAATCATCGGAATATGATGATAATGTCGAAAAGATAATGACAGAATTATTTGATTTACCGAATCCGGGCATCGTCGCTTCTATGAGTCCCTCAGACAAGATTGCGAACAGGTGATCTGCAAAATCTTACTTCGTACTGCCGATTTATATGATCGAATACATATGACAAAATATCGATTAATGTATTTTATATACATACAAAAAATTTGTATTTTGTTTTATTCCAAAAACGGACAGAACTTTCCGGTAGACCTGATATATAAGATTTTGAAAAAATAAATAAAATGATAGTGTATAATAAATATAAAACAAAAACAATTAAATTTTTTTTTGAGATTGATAAATATTAATTCTGAGAAAGTTGAAATGAATCTTTTTTATTTAAAGTTTATTTTATAAGCAGTCCATATAATTCGTGACAGAGTTAAGAATAGAATTCTATTTATCAGTTTATGTGTCATTGTATATTAATATACGTATGTGTATTCTGATTTGAATTCTAAATCTGACATAGGCTTAGTAGTATTAACATATATTATTCAGCAAACTAAAATTTGAAATAGATTTTATTATAAATAATTTAGAATTTTTTATATTTTTTTGCAAAAGTGTGTGTGTATGTATGCGTGGAATCATGAATCTAAAATCAGCTTAATAATATTAATTAGCACATATTGCGCAGCAGAACTGAGATCCATAATTAAAAATCATTAAATGAGTACGTCGCTTAAAAATTATTACATAAGTACAAATTGTCATATTTTTTATTTTGCATTTATGACGTATGTAATTATGTAATGTATTTTTATATGTTTCAGAAAGATGCAATTATCTTCGCAAGATAAGGATCTACTGCCGCGCGGTAATCTTCAAGAGACTGTCCCGTTTCAGGAGGAAAGATGGCAAAATAAACATCAAAACGATGATGAAAAAAAATCATGGTCGCGAAGCTCGGAGCATAATTCTCAGAAAACCAAAGAACAAATTGCAGACGACAGCGTAAAATTAAACACGAGCTCTTCTGTTGAAACTGCATTATCAGGTATAACAGACGCGAATAATACTTATCAAACTAAAATCCAGGGCTGTAGCTTGCCTGCGAAAAAATCGTCGGACAACGCTATACGAAACTCTGTCCAAGAAACGGAAGAAAAGAACTCTCATATTAATAACAATATTAATTTAACGAATGACAGAGATATTTCTGCCGAAAGATCGAGCACCAAAGTAAAACTAGATTCTACAACGTCGAAAGATAAATTGCTAAACAAATCTGCACATAATTCCATCCGCAAAACTGAAAATAAAAATTTTCATTCTAAAAGTAAAACTATTTCCCCGAAAAATAGATGCATCAATAAGAAACATTCGTCGGGAAATAAATTATTCAAAACAAGTGCGCAGATTCGATTGAAGAAGCATCATTCTAAAAGTAGCATTGACTCCTTCAAAAATGATACGATTTTTGAAAAAGATCGCAAACAAGAGAAAAAGGAGCAAAAAGGAGAAATAGAAATAAATCAAGAATCCTCTTCATCAAAAATTAAACTGTTAGATTCGCAAGTACAAGAAGGCAGCAATGAATCTAAAAATAATGATAATTTATGTGAACGTAATGTCAATGCATCACGTGATACAATAGTTTTAAATTTAAAATCTTGTTTAGAAATAGAAACTAATCTTATCGCGAATGAGAATGAAAATGCATCTATTTCAAATGTACAAACTTCTCGTATCGATTCTGAATTGTTACCCGAGCAAACACATGCGTCTGCAACTAAAATATTTGTAAAAACCGATACACAAAATGGAAATATAAAGACAAAGCTTACAGATTGGCACAGAGATAGTCTACCTGTCGAAACAGATTCTAAAACAGCAGTTAAAAAAAGAGTACATTCTGAATCTTCGAATGAAAGTGCATCGACGAAAAAAATGCAAAAAGAGAAAGAGGCATCTCTTGATGGGTCACTCGATGAAAATTTGATGAGTGATACCGAGATATTCGATCGTAAAGTGTTTTCCGAGGATAAACGAATCCATAATAATAATAATGAGAATGAAAAGCAAATATATTGGGAGAGGATTACAGAATATATGACAAAGAAAAGAGAAACGTATAGATATCTAAGACAAAAAAGAAAATTAAAAAGAAAAAGGCAGGATAAGATTAAAAGGATACGAAAAAAATTTCGCTACTGTTTCCAAGATTGTCTTGGTTCTAGCAAAAGCGAGAGTGACGAGGATCGCAAGATTATATCGGAAAGTATAGAGAAAAGAAATCTGCAATTTGTCTCAAATAATTCCGAAATATATAACACATCTAACGATATTACAACAGAAGAAGAGATGGAAGACATTTATGAAAGAGATGAAATATTGATACATAAACGTTATGTGTCGGTTAATAATTTGCAAGAAGATACACAGAGCGTAATCTCGAAAGTAGAATCCATCAATTCCAGCGATTCCACCATATGCATCCAAAACGACACATTGCACGATTTTACAACGGACGAAGAGACGGATGAAAATACAGATTCTAACAAAGATAAAACATCGACATGTAAACGTCATATGTCAGATGATACTTCGCAGAAGGATATAGAGAGCGAAATCCCGGTGAAAATACAGCGCGTAGAGGATTCTGTGTTAATTGCCGATACAGAAACCGTTGTTAGCAAAAATGACACAGGACGTAGCGAAGATGCGGTTAATGTGGAATCGAAAGAAGTAAATATGCAGAACACGCAAGAAAATCAAAAAAATAACGAAAATATTAATATCGAAGATGCCGTTTATGTGGAGTCGAAAGAAATAAATATGCAGAACATGCAAGAAAATCCAAAAAATAACGAAAATATTAATATCGAAGATGCCGTTTATGTGGAAAAGAAAGAAGTAAATATGCAGAACACGCAAGAAAATCAAGAGAACGTCGAAAATGTTAATTTAACCGACGAGGATATAAAAATATCGAAAGATATAAGACCAAACTTGAAATTCTCAACCATGTCCGCGCAAGAGTTAATATCCAATATTGAAAAGAAAGATGGCTGTGATGTAACGCAAACTGTCGAAAATGTATCATTAACGAATAACGAAGATATTGCGACAAATAAAACAACTGTGATAACCGATCATGCTTCATTAATGTCACCAAAATTGGAGGAAGATTCTTCGAATAAGAAAGGTGTTGTTAACGAAGCCCTCTCCTCGCCAACAACATACGCGTCTTCAAAAAGATCAGATACAAACACCAGTAATGATAATTCATCAACAGACGATGATATTATTAGCGATATTGAAGTAGAAATAAAAATAAAACCCAAGTCGAAATCTCGAGTATCAAAAAAATTTTCGCTGAAAGCACCTCTATCTGTAGTGAATACGTGCATCTGCAAGAACTTGAATGCATTAAAAAGCAAACCAGATATTCTTGGCGAACTCTTTCAGATGAGTTTTAAAACATCTTCCGAAAACTCTAAGCACGGGAACACAATCAATAGCGAAATAAACGAAGCGAAAAATACGTCGGAAAAATCGTCGGATATTAATCTAGGTATTACCGCTGAAACAGCATCACATATTCAGGAAGTTATATGCAATTCTAGTCATACTACCAAAGATAATGCAAATCATTCTTCAAAACAACAGCAAGAACGAGGTTCTCAAAATGACACAATTTTTGATAGAGATAAAAATGCGACGCAACATCATCAAGAAGAAAAGAATAAACACGTACAATCTGCCGAACAGGAAAAGATGCAGATGACAAGTGAAAATGGTTCTGAATCAGCCAAATCTGCGTCTGATTTGGAAAAACAATTACCAAAGTCTTCCTCGAATGACAAAGAAAAGATAGCAGACGAGCAACAAAAAAATCCTCAAGATGATATAATTTTGATCGAGAGTGGATATGCGACGGAGGGTGATCAGGGAGAAAAGGATGAACGCGTACAGTCCGTCGAAGGGAAAGGAACGCCACCTGAAAACAGTGTTGAATCAGCTAAATCTGCACGCGACATGCTTGATTTGACAGAACAATTACCAAAGACTTCCTCGGAAACTATGGATTCAAAGCGCAACACAGTAAGGGTTCGAACGAGCGCAGAGCTTGGATCCCCGTGGAGTCCTATGAATTTATCTATGGATTCTGATGCATCGATTATATCAGACAATACACATTCAGTGCCTTCAGCATCATCGACATGCGGACCACCGCCATCGTATAATTCCGCTACCAAATCTGCGTATCATTCACCCATGGCGAATCTACTGGATGTATCGGCTGATAATATTTCTTCGAACTTTATCATGAAGTTGGTGCCAAGCGCAATAACAAATGTCTGCTATAACTTTGCATCGTGTCGCAAGATTTTTCGAGAACAAATATTCAACGAAGAAAAGATGTATAGAATGAGGATCAATCTACTTCAAATATGTCAAAATATAGATACCTTGAAGATATTGTTGTGCACGACAAATGAAGAGTATGTTATAAATTACATCAATCAACAAAAGATGCTAGTTTTTCCGATATCAGTTAGAGAATTTAAGCAATATTTGTTTTTATTTGAACGCTATGTATCGGTGGCGTGTGCCGCACCGTTTCGCGATAAGATATGTTCAAACATGCCGCAACTTTCGAACATTAACAATTCAGTTCCGAGTGCATCGGTACCGAATGTTCAGGCACAATCACCATATTTGGGAAATGCTCCAGGCATGCCGTTGCCAGGCATGCAGCATGTCAGAGCGCAATCCTCAACAATGCCACCCCCGGGACCGAATATCAATCGATCACAGTCGTCGAGGAGTACGGACAATTCTTCGCGTTTAAGGCAATCTGCACCGAATATTCGCCCGTGTAAAGTTTCATCTACAAGTATACCAGTGCCAAATTCCATTCCGAATCCAACGATTAATCCACAACAGCCTGTAGGAAACGCGAGTTATTTACAAGGCCAGCGTATGCCAAATGTGTCGAGTGTCAATAATCAACAGTTTTTCGTAAATCCGGGTAACACTCTATATACAACGGCGTCGGCCGCATCTGCATCGAATATTAATATGTGCATATATCCGCCCACAAATCAAGGGAATACAAACGTCTCTTTTACAACTGGACAGAAGTATTCGCATATCGAAACGAGAACTACCAATAGTGCGACCGCAGCATCTGCGATTAATATGCAACAACAAAACCAAACTCCGTACTCCCAGATGCCGTTTTACGGAAACTCAGGAGCATCGTATTTTTCGCCGTCCACGACAAACCAAAATATTAATGGAATGAATCAGTTTATGCATAATATCACTCAGTCCAAAGTTTGTACAACTGTTAACGCTCCGGGAAATGTGACGGGAAACATTAGACCTGGGAATCCGTTTGTAAATCTGCATATGCAGACTCCGCCGGTACCTGCGGAGAAAGGTGTCCCACAGTATAACAATAGCGTGTCGAATAGTGTCGCGTCGCAATCTGCACGTGTACACGTTCAGAATATTTTGCCGAATCCGAGTCAGCAGCAACAAAATTTGCAACAATACCTGCACCAGAAACTACCCAGTGGTACATCTGCATCTTTTACCGATTTGTTAAGTAATAATGTCTCGCAGAACGCGCAGCCATCCATGCCGAATAAGAAAACGGGGATCCCCGAGACACAAATTAGGGATGGTATGCCAAATAAAACACCATTCGCGAAACCGCAACAAAATATACATCAAGGAACCCCGTGCATACATAACACATGCGTAAATACGTACGAATACGTACACAAAGTATCGCAAAAGTCGTCTGGCATCTTTCCGAAGACTCCCGTGTCGCAGGAACCAAGTGTCTCGCAGAATGCGTCTAACACAGCTTCGCAAAAAGGTAAAAGGAAATTAATATTATCAAAACCTACATCTGCGTCATCGCCGCCAAACGAAATTGTGAACCCTCACTTTGATCTGAGCTTTCTGACAGAGATTCAAAAAATTATGTTGAAAAATCAGTTAAAATTTTATTTCGAAAAATATTCATTTAAACAGCAAGACTCCCAAAAATTCTACCTTGAAAGAAAGATGTTGAATTTCTTTTATAAATCTTTAGATAATTATCTAATCAAGATGATGATAGGAAATAAAATAAATCAAAATCGTATCGAAGAAAAATTACAAAACGATGCATCACGAAAAGCATCGAAAATACCAAATCACCAATCAAAAATCAAATCATCTTGCAAAAAAACTCAATCTAATAAAATTAATGAGAATAATTCACTCTGCGATAAAGTGCGAAAAAAACTATCTCTAAAAGAAAAGACTGATCCGAATATTTCATTAAGCTCAAAATCTACGACGGTAGAAAGTAATTTATCGATGGAAGCGCGAAATAGGGAATTACGTCTTAAGTCTACGTCAAAATCCACGATAATTGAAGAATCATCTCCGGGAACTGTAGATTTGCAAAAGCAGAATATAGATACACCAAAGATGCGATGCAAGAAAAACTTATCTTTCATTATGGGAGAACAATCTGAAAATATAAAAACATCGTTAAATTCAGGACATTCAAACATTCCGGAAGAAAATTCGATCGCGGAAACGTCGTGCAGAATCTCGGAAACGAAAGCGCAAGACAACGCAAATATTAACAAAACTGCAAGATCTCTGGTAGAAAAATTGCACGATAAGCGATTAACAGAATTATATATTTCTCTTCTCACACAAGATACGTCGAATGTCTTACGAAATGCATTAAGCAATGAAATAAAAGACTGTTCAAAGATTGCAAAAGATGACGCTAAAAAAACTGGTAACATAGAGACGGAAAATATATCCAAAATTTCAAATGTTACAACGTTAAATAATATTAGAGAAAACGATGCGATATCACAATCCTCGTTTAACACAAGAACGCAAGATAATATAAGAAATAAGGAAACTGTAAAATCTCCAACGAAGGATCTGCATGACAAGCGACTGTTGGAATTGTGTTCCTCTTCTGTGCAAAAAATGTTGAACTTGTTACAAGATGATAAAACGAAAGATGATAACGTAAACATTGGAGGATCTGATAACACGGACACGGCCAACATATGCAAAATCTCTAACATAGTTACAATATTAAATAGCAATGGAGGAAACGAAAAAGTGGCCTCGCAAGTTCCTTGTAACACAAAAACTCGAGATAAAGAACTGGATCACAATGAAGCGTGTAATCTCAACAATAAAATATCTGGCGAAAATTCACATGATGGAAAACGCGATAATGTCAAAGAAAATATCAAAACATCCAGATCGATTTTCACCGAATCACAGTTTGATACGTCATGTATACCACGAACTTCTACACCGTTTATATCAGATACGTCAGAATTATTATTTCCGATAAACAGAAGCGAATCCGCAAAAATATCGCAAACAGATACCGCACGTAAAAAATATACTTTTGGAACGCTATCAGAATTTTTCTCCAACGAGCAACAAGATGATTCTACGAACGAACAGATTAATAACTTTGAGAGAACGAACGACGAGAGCTTTGAAAGTTCAGGAAATCTGCACATCGACGAAAACGCGGAAAAATCGAATTCAGATTTGCAAGAAGAGCAGCGCGATAAGATATCGTCTTTTGGAAATGATAAACCGAATACGTCGCAGGATTTATGCCTTGACAAGACGAGGGGCGAACCTATAAAAATAACATTATTGCCACCATCTGTAGAAAATTTTGAATTAAAATTATTAGTAACAGAAGAACAAAACGTTCAGAAATTTAATGAGGAATTATCATTAAAACAAAAGGAGATGCAAGCTCAGGAAACATCGCCGTCTGAAATTCCGAAAGATACATCAAGTACGAGAGCGGCGATGGAATCAATCGACACCGTGAAGGAACTTGAAGATATGAAGAAGAATCAAGTACAAGTGGATACTCATAGCGGCATTAAAGCAATTAATGAACTGCTCAAACACGTGTCCGAGCATAGGTATAATGGAAAATCGAGAACCTTTTCGTGTAATCCTACAATAAAAAGTAATGCTACAAATGTAAATGTAAATGAGGCCGTTGTCGACAAAAATGATATTTCGAACGCCAAATTCGTTGCCAGTCCCACGAAAAGCGAAGATAATCATGAGAACTCCAATATGAGTATCCTGAACGTCACGAGCATATCGTCGTCGTTATTTGAGAAAATAGACAATTCCGATGCGCTCTTTTCAGATGATGTTGTATTGTTGGATGAGATGAAGGAAAAATCGTCATTTGTGAACGACAATTTGGAAGTTCCTAACTCCGCATCGTTAAATGAGATTAAGGTAGAAGAGTCGTTGGACGTGAACGACAATTCGGAAATTCCTGATTTTGCACCGTTGAATGAGATAAAGATAGAAGAGTTTTTGGACGTGGACGACAATCTGGAAGTTCCTGATTCTGCGTCGTTGAATGAGATAAAGAAAGAAAAATTGTCAGATATGAACGACAATCCAGATGTCTATAATTTCGGGTGGTTGAATGAGATAAAAGAAGAAAAGTCCTTGAACATGAACAATGATTTTGAAATCCTTAACTCCACGTCGTTGAATGAGATAAAAGAAGGGAAGTCGTCGGACGTGGATGACAATGTGGAAGTCCATAATTTCGTGTGGTTGAATGAGATAAAAGAAGAAAAGTCCTTGAACAATGATCCTGAAATCCTTATCTCCGCGTCGTTGAATGAGATAAAGGGAGGGGAGTTGTCGGACGTAAACGACAATTTGGAAGGCCATAATTTTGTGTGGTTGAATGAAATGAAAGAAGAAAAGTCTTTGAACATGAACAATGATCCTGAAATCCTTAACTCCGCGTCGTTGAATGAGATAAAGGAAGGAATGTCATCGGACGTGGACAACAATCTGGAAGTCCATAATCTCGCATGGTTGAATGAAATGAAAGAAGAAAAGTCCTTGAACGTAAACAATAAGCCGGAAGTCCTAAATTCTTTGTCGTTGAATGAAATAAAGGAAGGAATGTCATCAGACGTGAACGACAATTTGCAAGTCCCAGATGAGATGGAAAACAGGCCGTGTTTACGTTGCAAACGCAAGAGCATAGTATATTGTCAAGCCTGTTTGGAGGCTCCTTACTGCTCCAAGCGTTGCTCGGATTTGCATTGGAAAGCAATTCATTACAAACAGTGTAAGAATCTTTACAAACCAATCATTTGTATCGATTTATAATTTTCCAAGATTCTTGCCTGTGCTCGTTTTGAATACGGAGTTCTTTTGGAATCTTGGACTCTTTTCCTAATATACCAAATATATAAACGATATCTGTTTGAGCTTAACTAATCAATATTTATTATCACTTATGTTTAAAAAATATAATAACTGTTTGACAAAATTATTTTTATAATAAAAATTTTCTTTAAGTTATGCGCGATACATAGAATGATTTATACGAGAAGTATCTTCCTTTGGTACAAGATCGACGATGAAAAAATATAACACATGTGAAAATGTTAAAAGATGTAACGAGAAAAATGCTTAACTTTCTATATATTTTTTTTTCCCGTGAATGCAATTTCTTTTATGCGTGCACGTACATAAGAGACAGGAAAGGGGAGAGAGAGAAAGAGAAAAATATGCAATTCAAAATTTTTTTAAAAATTCTTGTTTCTCATTCAGTGCTTAAAAATATTAAAATAAGAATGAATTTTGGCAGAACTTTGAAGTTTCCTAAGCACATATTTGGAGACAGAGTTTTTGCTATATTGAAATTTTATAATTTAATTTTTTTTTAGGGATTTTCTGCAATTTCCTGCAAAATGACGAGAGAAATCGATTTATACGATAAGAAATATATGATTTTATTCTAAAAAGTGCACATAACATCTGTGAAATAAGTTTACACATTACATTTCGTCTTTCTCTTTTTATTTTTTTTTTTATCGTCGACCGCGCGTTTACTCTTCGTTCTAAATATAAACATGCACGCACACACACACACATATACATAAACCATTCTATATAGAGATAAAGAAAGTAATATATATAATAGCATTAGTTATGTTAACAGTACATAAATAGCTTCTAAAATAAATATTAATTGTATTTGATGTTTATTTTTAAAAATCCGATATCTGTTTCAATTTTTGATATCGTTATACGAGATTTGACATACTTGAAAGTGAAATCTTATAGTTTTGTTTTAAAAATTACATTCATTACCTATGAATTGTAAGACTTTGTAAGATGTAAGATAATTTTTATACTTTCATACATATATGTAAAAAGGAAAAATATATATTTATATATTTAATGCTTGTTATTGTTAATTTAACTTACATATTAAAAACATATAGATTCGTATACATATAATGCTAATAAAAATATAATCCCTTTCAGATTTATTCCCTCTTAATTACAAGTTCCCTTTGACTAGCTTAAAATTAACAAAATAATTTTTCTGATCAATAAAACATATATTTTTAAAGTTAAATATTTAATAATATAGAGCAATAATATGATTTGTTGCAGTGATTATATCAAATTAATTGTACTAATTGTATAGGAAAATGTTATAACATAAAAAATTCCGAAAAAATATAAATATTGTATCTCTACTAATTTATTGACTCAATCGTTCATACGGCAATACAATGTAGGATACATATCATAGAGAATGCTAGTAATATTAGTGTAACCATTATAAATACAAACTAAACAGGACCATCCTCTAATCTTCATAGCCTTCAGGTAGAGCATTTGCTTTGGGATTATGGAAAAGCGAATGATTACCATCACCCCATGGGAATTTCTATAAATAAAAGAATAATTAAAGATTAATCAGTACTTAAATCTTAAAAATATATTTATCTTTCACATTTATACAATGAAAATGAGATCGATGCATAACATATTGATATATACCTTGGTTCTTATCCTCATATGATCGTATGGAATAAATTCTGGACGTTCATCACCATGATGAGCCTGATGATTTAAATAACAATTCAACATAGCCAGACCTATCGCTGGAAAGCCTACGAAGAGCGAAATCCTCTTCCACAACAGTTGTGTCTGCTCTGTAAAGTACATATGCACAAGCATTACTGTTATGTAATGTTCGCCGATAACTTATTTCAAGATATGATACATTTTCCGCGGAAAATACAACGCATCACCGTAATGTTGTACAAGTAAAAAGCGTCTTATCATAGAGAAGATTTTAGTTAACAACATTTAACAAAAATATCTTATTGTAAAAGATAGTATCGTCGAGTATGTCATATTCTGTGCAAGTATAAAAATCTCCGTTTTCAAACGCGCGCATATAAAATATTGAATTATTAGCACAACAATTCGCTTGTATTCACCTGAACTGGCATGTTCGTGACTGGCAGACGTCGCATATTTTCTCGAAAAGGTACGAACGGCTCTCATCCAAGAAGCCATTTTTGCTCTTCTGCTAAGCTCCAATGCTACTTTCTCTAGATGTCATATGGGTGATAAACACGATAGAGCGCGTTCGGAAATCTTACTTGTGGAGTAAAGTAGCGTTTAACTGACCAATCAGAACAAAATATTTCTTTGTCCAACCAGTAGAATTTTCGAACAATTTTGTCCAATCAAACAAATAAAATGTCAGCTGAAGAGTTCGCAGCAATAACATTTGTGAAAATATAGGTGGTTATATGTGGTTGTGTGCGTATTTATTTAATAATATAATCGGTAATATTATAATTTATATACATAATGAGCGGCAAGCGTGAACACGAAAAAAATGATACGGAAGATGATTGGATTGGACCATTACCTTCGGAAGCTGCACCGCAAAAAAAGCAAAGAGGTTAAAATCAAAACAATTTTTATAATTCACATTTAATGAATAAAAATAAATATAATGTTTCTCTATTCCAACTTCATGAAATTTTAATTTAACTTTTATTTTTATTTGACATTTAATAAGTAAAAAAATCTTTGTTCTTACTTATGTGTATTTCTTTTAAAATATTTTTAACTTTTTTACAGTTTTGGAATACGAACAAGTGTACATAGATAATTTGCCAAGTTGCGAATGTTATGAGAAGTCTTATATGCACAGGGATGTCATTACTCATATTTTGGTAACAAAGTTAGTATTTTACATAAATAATAAAATATGTACAATTTTTGCTTTCTGGAAAATTTGTTATTGAAATGTATCAATACAGGTCAAACTTTGTGATAACCGCCAGTTGCGATGGACATGTAAAATTTTGGAAAAAGCAGGAGGAATTGATAGAATTTGTAAAGCACTTTCGAGCACATCTAATGCCAATACAATCAATGTCTACTAGTTGCAACGGGGTTCACATGTGCTCAGTCAGTATTGATAAAAGTATGAAAATCTTTGATGTCATCAATTTTGGTAAGTATAAAAATCTATTATTCTTATTTAAAATGTTTATAAAGAATATTTAACTTATCATATTTATATTTGATTTTTAAGACATGATAAATATGATAAAATTGGACTTTGTGCCACTCTGTGTTGAATGGGTGTACTCGGCTGGCGATGCAATATCTGCCGTAGCAGTGTCTTCACAAGAATCGAATAAAATATACATCTACGATGGTCAGGGAACAAATACACCTTTACATATATTTGAGAAACTACACACTAAACCTGTCGTCATTATGAAAGTAAGATTTATTGAGGTTATTGTGAGAAAAGGATGATTTGATTAATATATCTTTTTTTTGCAGTATAATCCTGTATACGAGACATGCATCTCCATCGATAGAGCAGGAATATTGGAGTACTGGACGGGTCCGAAGATGAAGTACAAGTTTCCCAAATGCATATCGTTTGAATCGAAGTTGGATACCGATCTGTTTGAGTTTGCTAAAAATAAGACTTACCCATGTGGCTTAGCGATATCACCTGATGGCAAACGATTTGCATCCCTCAGTGGAGATAGAAAAGTTAGGGTTTTTAATTTCCGGACGGGCAAACTATACAGGATATTTGACGAGACACTTCAAAGATTTAGCGAATTGCAACAAACTATGCAGCAACTTCCAAACATGGAGTTTGGACGCAGGTGAAATGCTTGCACTTTTTATGGTTCTCAAAATTTTCTAAATTGCTTTTTCAGTTGGTTACATTAATTTCCATTATTACGCATTGCAGAATGGCAGTCGAAAGAGAATTGGATAAAACTGAGACGAACCTAGGAAATATCATTTTTGACGAATCTGGTTATATTATTTTATATCCTACGATGCTGGGTGTTAAAATGGTGAATCTTTACACAAATCGTTGTATCAAAATCATGGGAAAGCCAGAAAACATACGACCAATGCAGCTGGCATTATTCCAGGTATTTAATAAATCTTGTAATTGAAGCGCGCAGAAACGACAATTGATATATTATTCATGATGTACGATATACGAATGATGTGCAGGGAAAAGCGAGGAAGACAACTGCTGCTTTAACCGTTGAAATGGAGGCTTCCGAGAATACCATAATAGAAATGAACCGTCCCGATCCGACGTTGTTTTGTACGGCTCACAAGAAAAATCGATTCTACATGTTCACGAGACGAGAGCCGGAGGATACAAAGAGCCAGGAATGCGACCGAGATGTTTTTAATGAGAAACCTTCCAAGGAAGACATTATATCTTCGACGGAAGCCACGAATATGCAGAAAATATATGACACTGCGATTCTTCATACGGCGCTCGGCGACATCCACGTGAATCTCTTCGGCAAGGAGGTCCCTAAGACGGTGGAGAATTTCTGCGTGCACGCGAAGAACGGCTATTTCAATGGTCATATATTCCATAGAGTTATCAAGGGTTTCATGATACAGACCGGCGATCCCACCGGAACTGGTACCGGCGGTGAGAGCATATGGGGAGAGGAGTTCGAGGACGAGTTTAAACCAAACTTGAAGCACGACAGACCGTACACTTTAAGTATGGCTAATGCGGGACCGAATACGAACGGTAGCCAGTTTTTCATCACGCTGACACCGACGGTGAGTACGAATTCCTTGGATGAAATTTTTCGAATATAGATTGAAATTATGTAGTTTCTATAAGGTACTTTATAATACGAATATATTATATATATATATATATATATATATATATATATATATATATATATATATATATATATATATATATATATATATATATATATATATATATATATATATATATATATATATATATATATATATATATATATATATATATATATATATATATATATATATATATATATATATATATATATTTCGTTCGCTTTTTATAGCCCTGGTTAGATAACAAACATACCGTATTCGGTCGGGTTCACAAAGGAATGGAAGTCGTGCAAAATATTAGTCAGGTGAAGACGAATCCTAAGACTGACAAGCCTTACGATGATATACGAATAGTTAGCGTAACTGTAAAATAACTTTATAAAATAAAGATCGGGAATTATACATACATTTTTGTACAAAATATATATCGATACGTTAATTTCACGATTTCCATCTCTATCGGCATCTCAATCCCGTCTCTTTCACTTCTTTTCCATTTGATATAACAATCCTCTGACGAAATTATACGCCCCCGTTCCGCAAGTGAACAAGTTGACGCTGAACAGATTATAATTCTTGGGTATTATTACCAGTGAATACCTAGAAGTGCGCAGATACGAGTTAAAAGAGAGTATTGTAATTAAATTTATAATTGATAAAGTTCACACCTAGACCATATAGCGCCTGTAATCATAAGGCTCGCAGTTTGACTGAGAGAGATTGTGTCTGCGGGTCGTTTAATGTCCCCTATGCCCGCTATTACCAGGCCCCATTTAAACGTCGGTGCCCAGAAAAATACAGTAGTCGGGCCTGAGATACGAAACAATTTCTTTTTCTTTACGAGATATTTTCTTTTTAGGGAAATTTAAATTTTTAGATAGCGTCGTACCTGCGGGATGCAAAAACGCGGCGCGGAATTTTTCAGGCAGGATCGAAGCAATTCTCAACATTAATCTCTGATAACCGCCAATTTTTCCGGGTGTTGCCATAATTCTGTGCGATAATCCTCCGAAAAAGATGCGTTTCACAACGTAAATACTGTATAAAATGTTTCGTAAAGAGGCTTCTATAAAAAAGGTTTGGAGCTAAAATGACACATTTTAGTGTGTTATTGCGACTTTGTTCAGTATATTAATTAAAAATGCGATGGATTGGTTTTCTATATTAAACTGCAATTTCACATCACGCGACGATGTTCTTTTTATTGGAAAAATTATTCGTCAGAAAGCACATCGACTTAGTGTGCAACGCAATATTAAAATTTTACAATTAAATTTTCCAGTTGGATTTTACAATTAAAACAAGATAAAATGTCAATTTTAATAAGAGACCTGTCTTGTTATAAAAAGAAACCGGAGCCGTGTTGGAACGACATGGAAGAACTGAAGTATCTGATATGCATGATGGATTGTTGGTACGAGTGAAATGTTTAATTAATCGAAACGATCAAAATTATTTGTGTTCTTTACGCGTGTAAAGATAGAATTGCTCTCCGTAATATAACTTATAGTTTCATTGTTACAATATTTCATAGCAAATGCCCGAGCGTTCCGCCACCAGCTTCGTGCACCGTAATTCTACCCCCGAGGATCGAAGAATTTCCTTGCGAACCTCCGCCTCGGAGACCGCCGTGTGTCCCGTCACCTCGATGTTGTCCGATAACACCTGGACCGTGTTGCCCCCGGCCTTTGCCACTTCCGATACTACCAGCAACGTGTCTCCCGAGTCCGTTCTGTCCTCCTTGTAGTTCGTCACCGTGTTATTTTTACGAATAACAATTTAAACAAGTCGAGGAATGTAAAGAGGAAAACTTAAAAGTAATATATCTATCTGACTTTTCACGTTACGATCATTTGTCACTTTAACGTAGATGACGATAATGGGCAAGATGAAGGAAGAGAAATTTCTCCTTTGACAGAAAATTGAGGGAAAGAAAACAATTTATTAAAAATCCATATAAAACATTCATTTTTCAATTTTAACAGAAGTTACGCGTATAGCCGATAAAATTGTATTGAAAATATCGAATTTTCTCAAGAACGAGCAGTCATATCGTTCGTTCGTAAGGATGAATTTGATTTCGAGATTTCGGAGCACAGGTAATACCAATAGATTACATCTCTCGTAGTTACATGATATGTTCCCCACATGTGTGATATCGATATTAAACACATACCAGTTTAACGTAGATAGCGGTAGATCGTTCACATGTTTTCAAACGCGAATCCCGTAGCTGAAAAATTTTCTTATATATATAATGATGCATATCTCTCTCGCGCATCTTGGCAAAGCTATCTTGTAGTTCGTCACCGTGTTATTTTTACGAATAACAATTTAAACAAGTCGCGAGGAATGTAAAGAGAAAAACTTAAAAGTAATATATCTATCTGACTTTTCACGTTACGATCATTTGTCACTTTAACGTAGATGACGATAATGGGCAAGATGAAGGAAGAGAAATTTCTCCTTTGACAGAAAATTGAGGGAAAGAAAACAATTTATTAAAAATCCATATAAAACATTCATTTTTCAATTTTAACAGAAGTTACGCGTATAGCCGATAAAATTGTATTGAAAATATCGAATTTTCTCAAGAACGAGCAGTCATATCGTTCGTTCGTAAGGATGAATTTGATTTCGAGATTTCGGAGCACAGGTAATACCAATAGATTACATCTCTCGTAGTTACATGATATGTTCCCCACATGTGTGATATCGATATTAAACACATACCAGTTTAACGTAGATAGCGGTAGATCGTTCACATGTTTTCAAACGCGAATCCCGTAGCTGAAAAATTTTCTTATATATATAATGATGCATATCTCTCTCGCGCATCTTGGCAAAGCTATCTTTATGACAAAACAAGACATCTCTTGCTTGGTCAGTTATGTTTGTTGATCCCACCTATACGCTCATTATACTTAAAAACATTAGCGCGCGCATGCAAGAGTGTATCTTTAAATTACAATTAAACAGATAAGTCTTCAGATAAGTTCTTTTAAAAGTTCAAGTAAGTTATTCACGATCAAAAACTTCGTACATCATAAAATTGTCAATGAAGCAATGAGTCTGAAGACAGATTCTCTTTTCGAAAGAACGTCGCTACGAATTCCCGTCATCTATGACATCTCTTGATTCTGTTAATCGAGTAAATTCGATTTCATTCCATCGCGAGACATTCGTCAAAGTGTATATATAAATTGGTGTTTCTATTATGATTAATCCTCTCGCGCATTTTAAATGGCAAAGCGATCGATTTTCTTGTTCACCACAGCTGTAATTATTAGAATTATTATTATCATTATTATATTAAACGATCGTATTATTACAAACATTAATCTAGATTATATCGGATATATATGTAGCTTATTTATATACATTTGGAAGAGAAAATGAGCTTACGGTAATTTTCCAAGTAGACCGTTAGTACAGCACAAATATAAATGCAAAGTGTCAGGAGATCTTTGCAAAATTTTTCGAAACGTCAGTTTCTTATCTTGCAATGAGATATTATACGCCCTGTTCTTCACCAATTTCTATTATTTTAATTTGCAGAAAAAGGTAAAAAAGATATATCAATATGTGATTAGTGTTGTGCAGATTCGAGCTGGAAATGGTTAAAATCTTTTTGTCTACGTTTTTTTCTTCATAATGAAAAAATAAAAAAAAAGAAGAATGAGAAATGTATAAATACATAGCTATATTTTTCGATGACAGTTTAATTGATCCTTTGGATAATAATTATCATGTACTTAAAACAAGTACAACATTACACCTAAAACTAGTAAAACTAGTAAAACTAATTACACTTTTAAGACAACTAAACCATGCTTACTTTTAATGTCAGTTCGTGTAGCTATATAAGACACGATACATACACATTAACACTCTTTTATAAAATCATTATTCACGCATGTAAATGCGCATTTCGCAACAGAATTTCGTATTAATCCTCTTCGCTTTAATAATCCGGTGCGTCACGTATCGACATATAAAAAGAAATTCACTTCGAAATTATATGATGAAGCGATACCTATCTTATTTTCCTGCAAAAACGACGATTTTTTTCGTCGCGTATCGCGCGAACTCCTCTGTACTACAATTGGTGCCACGAGAGCCTGCTCGATATTCCTGCTTCGCGCTGCCGATTCCGCTTTTATCAGATACGTTTCTCGTTTACGTGAGCGCGATCGACAAGACTTGTCGTAGATAGCACACGTTTTTTTTTCTCGGACCGATTGAGACGACAATCGCTCGAGGAGATATCCGGTTATCCGGCGAAATCATCATCTTCGCCGTGCGCGAAGGCATAAGGTACGTTAGAGAACGAAGAGGTTCTCGCAGCTCTTGGTTTTTCTCTTGAAACCGAGTAGATGCTTCAGAATACGCCTGCGGTGCTTGCTCCGACGGCGTCTGGTCGCTTGGTCCCGCTGCGGATTCAGCTTGATCTGCGCCAGAATGCCGACCAAGAGCTCGTCCACGTGATGGGCTAGACCCGACGAGGTCTCGATGAATTTGCAGCCGCAGTTGTTCGCCAGACGGCGACCGACTGTCGGCAGGAATCAAGGGCTCGAGAACGTGCATGCGATTGAAATTTTCACAGATTCTTCTATGTATCTTTTTTTTCGCGTTATATCGTATTTTAATTTTACAAAATTTTATCATCAAGTTTCGTTAAATATTGCTTTTTCTCCGTAGCTTATTTCGTCGATCTTAAAGCGATAGTAAAATTATATAATATAATTGACAAGAGATTTTCATTAATCAAGAAATTTTTATTGAAATCATCTTGTCAAAAAGATGATATAAATATCCTTTTTTTTTTTGCTTCTCACTATAAGGCGGATTTTCTTTTAACTAAAAATTTGATCGACTCTCGGGACTTCATTAAAACAATTCGCGTATTGTAATTGCGTTGGAAAAATTGCACAAAAATTCATCTATACTCACCCACTGACGGAACCTCCCGCTTTCTTTCGAGGTCGACTTTATTACCGACCAAAATGACACCGTGAGTAGCCATGTAATCGCTCTTCCACAGATAGAGCAACGTCTCCTCGGCGGCTTTAAAACTTCTTCTGTCCACTACCGAATACACCACCACGTACACGTCCGGATTGTAGGTCGAACAAAAGGTCTCGACCTCAGAAAGATGAAAAGAAAAATGGAAAAACTCGGCGGAAAACGTGGATTATCGGGCGGCGCGTTAGAGAGAACAGATTCGACAAACAGCTTGTATTTTTTTCGCACAAATAATAAATTCTGCTGTGGCGCGACGCAATATTGCACAATAAATGGAACAAGAATATATATTTCAACAATAAAAAAAATAATTTATATTTCAATAAAAATTGCGCGTATGTTTCTAACTAATCCTTTACGGCGGCGTACAGTTTACACGCTTTTTGTTTTATATAAAGCTTATACATTTCATATCGTATATATTATATATCATGTGGAAACTTTTTCCCGATCCATTGCGATAAATCCAGACAAATAATTCACTTGCTTCCTCTTCCGTGTTATTGATCCTACGTCGAATCTATTCATTTTCCTCAATGGATAAAGAATAACACCTACGTTTCTCCGATCTTTTTCTTTCATCTACGCCTATCATCTCGCGTGTAGTTTATATCGAGACGTGTATCCTGGGGTTTTTTCATATGTTGACATTTAATCAGCGACGATAAAAGAAATTCTAGATGGGTACGATATCGTGTTATAACTCTATTTACGAGCTGTTAAAACGTCAGATAAAAATTTCACCCAATGTATTACGTAGTTTTGATCGCCCGATAATGATTGCCTGATTATTTCTAACAGAACTTCTCTACACATGCAAGAAAACATAGCATCTGTTATACTCACTGACATTTCCGCGGCGGGATGATCGATGATCTCCAATTCCGTTTCTTGACCGTCGAGCATCACGGAGACGCTCTTTTGTCCGTATTCCTCATCTGAAAATCGCGTAATTAAAATTCGCGATGCATCCCGATTATTAATCGCGAAGGCATACGCGTCGGTGATATTCCCACAAGTAAATAAATTATTTGAAACACGATTAATATATCGCTCCGATAATTAAATTGGGGGACAATAATGTCTCTGACGCGGGTCTCTTCTCTTGACGATCATATTTCACTATCTCTCACACCACTATGCCAATTAGGCTTAATCCTTCATTATGTTACACGACGTGACCGAAGAGAAATATATACCTTGTGCACGTATATTTATCTGATCAAACGGATCTAATTGCGCCCAAAACAGTAATAAATTAATTCGGTAAAATTATTTTTAGAACTTCTGATTAATCGTTGATTCTCTCGTGAGCCATTACAATTCAAAACGAATCTGTATCCGTCAAAGAGAATTATCTTAGAGAAGAAAAAGATGCATCGCATCTCATTCGTAATATACGAAATATCGATTACGCTCCATCGGCGGAACGAAAGCCTCAATGCAAAATCGATATGACGAGAGGTCAACTTTGAAAGCTCTCGCGAATCGCCGGCGGCCGGTGCTCGTAACGCGGGTCCATAAGCTTGTACAGTTTCAATAAAATCAGCGTTGAAAGTCGCCATGGGAGTGACCACGTTGTCGGGAATATCGATGGAAAATATTGCACACCTACGCGCTCGAAGGACGCGGAATAAGGAAGCGGAAAAGTGGCTGAGCCATTCTCTTTTCGGGTCAACGACGAACCGCTTATTCGTCTGTTATCTCGTCGTTTTCATTCAAAGCTCAATGCGTTACAAATCGCTATCAAGCGCACCAAGCTCAAGCTGCATTATCGATATCCTCGGTTTAAGATCGACGTCGAAAGATCTCATTGATGCAAAATGTTATTTTCTTTTGGATGAAGCGTAAAAGGGTTCCGCTCTAACAGATAAAAGGAGCTTATCATCATGGAGGATCTATTTAAGAGGCGAAAAAGACGCATTGCGACGCGAATTGTAAATGCGAATGAATTTTAATTAAGCATTGAAGTTTATGTTTTGTGTCGTGAGTCGAGTTCGCGAACAAGGAGAAGCATAAGCGTGTCGTGAATGCACCAGTGAACGATTCATTACAAGGGAAATTGTTTCCAAAATCGAATAGTTCGGACAAATTAATTAGTCTGACCGGACTTCACTAAACCCCGCGTTATTGCTCATTGTTATATATTGAAAGTTGCACGAGATATGATTGAAATTCGTTCTCTTGAATAAATACCGGGTCATACAATACACACATTTGCTATCGATTGTTGATCAACAAAAGGAATATCATACGAGGCCGCTTATTGCACACGCGACAATCTGAAAGACAAATGGAAACTGTGCGAGAGTAGAAAAGATTAACGAGATGCGATTTAACTTTACCAAAATAATTTTAGCGGAGTAATAAAGCCATTTATGGAGAATAATTTATCGACAATATAATCGAGTAATTACTTTGAGGCAATCAAAATATCTGAAAGAAAATATATTACGTGTAAATATATCGGACTGTCGACACGTTTTCCATCGGATTAATTAATTCTCATCAAATCTCGGAAAAGCGCGCACAATTTCGCGAATAATCACGTTCTTTCTCGCGAGAGAGAGAGAGAGAGAGAGAGAGAGAGAGAGGGAAGAGAGAAATGTTATAATTATATTAAATGCAAAATAACCGCTGCAATGATCTGCTGAACACAGAGGTTCCGGAAAGAGGAGCTCTATCCGAGAGAGTATTCGAACTCTTTCAGAGGTAGAAACGTGGAGACGACATCAATTTCCTTCTCGGCGACGAGTGCGACATGGCACGCATTTTGCGATTGAAAAGAGATCCTCTGTCCCTTGACGAAGAGAAGGTATAATAGCTATTTCTCCCAACAAAATCGCGTGGATTTTAATCGCGCAAATGTCTCTTCGAGAGAACGTTTTATATCCAGAAGGGACGATACCCGCGCGTCGCGATTACATAAATTAATCATTTCGGTAATGAAATCTCTGGAGGGAAAATATTCTATTATAATTTGAATATATTTACCGAGGGAAGCATCGTAAGCGCAAATGTACTCGCTCGTAGTGAATTGTGCAGTGAGGGCGGTTTTTCCGACTTCCGACGCGCCCAGCATGCCTACTTTGTAAGTCGTCACCCGTTCGTTACTGGCTTCCTCCCCCGTTTCTATGTCGGAGAGCTGCGAGGCCGAACTGAAAGGAGAAAAAGAAAAGAGGAATAAAATCTAAAGAAGATAGATTACATACACGGAATTAATACACGGACATATTCAGAATCGCGCTCTTGTGAAAGTCGCAATTTTATTTATGCTTTATTATAATCATGCGTGATTACGCGATACAATTGCGTAATTTCTCGTCCGGTCATTACCCGAAAAGTACACACGCGGTCCAAATAGCCTCTTCGTTAAAGCAACAAATGACGATAATTTTATTCTCACGCATATTAATATATATTAGTTTAGCTTATATTGAAGGAACGTATATAATTCCAACGATTTTTATTAAGGTTGATGCGGTTATTATTGCGATTATGCAAAATGTCAAGCGATCTCATTTTTTACGATTTTACAAAAATGTGGTTCTGCTGCGAAAATATGGTACTTTTACTTCACGGAGGAAAACGCGCCAAGAAAGATTACACGTCACTTTTATAAAGTTAAAGTAAACTTTTTCACAACCACACACACACATTACTCTGCTCCATATATTCAGAAGTCTAATAATAATCTTCCCTCGTTATTATCGTCATTACTAGAATATATTTCTAGCTTACTTTATATATATATTTTACACTTTTTATATCTAAAATTGAATAAAACTGCTTGTGTGTGTATGTGTGTGTGTGCGTACGTGTGCTTTTGAAATAGAAAACGATAAAGGGACAAGTGACAAAAAACGCGTTTAAAACGAACTGATCTGTAAAATGAGGATTTAGCTTTTAGTAGCAAGACAAAAAACGATACGAAACGCGATCGCAAAGCCGTGCGTTGCGGTAACAACGCTAGAAATTTTCTATCTCCTTTTAAATTGTCTGACTTTTCTGCAGGCAGGAAAATTTATGAGACAGTTCGCGCGCCTCGTGATCGAAATTATTCGCCTCAGTTGCATGGATACGTATATGTCGCACCCTCGAGTCTGTCTCGTTCTCGGCGAAGCCGAGATTTTTCTCGTTAAAGAAGCACTCTCCAAGATTGCACATCACATCGCGCACGATCGTCGTCGCCACTTTTCGCCGAGTATACGAAAAAGAGCGATTTTTTTGGGGGATTCGACGTGGAAAATCGGGTCGGTAAATTAAAAGAGGAGAAGAGATAAGTAGAGGTACCCAGCGTTATAAGCGTGGGGCCAGGAGCGGGTCTTTAATTCCCTTTAAAACTGCGCTCGATGACTGCTGTGGGTGACTTTCTTTACGACGGTAATCTGCCAATCCTCCCGACATCCTCTACGCCCGGACGTGTAATTACCCACGGGCAATTAGGACGCCCTTAAGTGTTCGCGGAGTCGCGGATTACTCGGAGTTTGCTCTCGCACGGGAGAGTTGATGGGTGAATCGAGTAGTTGCTGATAAATCGAGAGATACGATGCGCCCGAATATGATCTACTCCGCGGCCCACGGAAGCGTAAATAGCCTTTCGGGAAGATTGGAGCGAAGCTCTCTCTCCGATGTAGTTTCCAAACGGAAGCTACCGATAGTAAATTTAGATTCAGCGTGTATCAACCTCCCGTCAAAGGAAAATCGTACTTTCGCGTAGTTTCTGATTTACACAATCAACATTCTCCGGCTTATCAAGTAAATGTGAGTTATAAGTTTGTCTCGTGAATGATAAGCATAATAATAATATATACATGCGTTAAAAAATTTAATTTATGTAATTTATATGCTAAAATTTTTTATGTAAATAAAAATAGGATATATAGGTATATATATATATATGCTATCTTTGCTTATTTACGCAAAATTTATTTAATTTTCTATAAAAATAATATTCCTTTTATACTCTTTTAACGTGCACGCGCGCGCGCATGATATTCTCGAGAAGATAACTAATTAAAACAAATCAAGGATCGTTTATATCACATATTATCTTACAAAAAATCTTATGTTTTACGTAAAGCCATGCGAGAGGAAACATTGAATATATTTGTTTTGTTTTCTAAATCGATGACGTCGTTGCAACGAAGCCCTCGAGGAGGAAAATAAACATCCGAGCCGAGCTCGGAGAGATGAAAATGTGGAGGAGGAAATGCACGTGTACCACGTGGAAGATTATTTTGCAACATTTCCCTCTTTGCAATCGCACGCATTATACTTTTACATGTTATATTTATATGCAGTAACCATAGAAACGAAAGTATCCAATTATAATTCAGTCATTGAAGTTTAGTCTTATAGCTACGTTACTGTTAATTCTCTATTTGTATAATTTTCGTTATTATTATCCGAACGATATTATAAAAGAGAATATAATTATTTTTGTTCATGCATAATCTCGCTCTCTTGACAGCTGCAAGTTATAAGCATCGCGAATGTGATAAACACTTTTATTACAAATTCATCATAACTACAAAATATAAAAGAAAAAAAAAAGAGAGAAAAATATGTGCATTATTTTTTTTATTTGTGAAACTTTCTTGAAGTTACATGCACTGTTATTGTTTTTATTGAAGAGCTTTACTATTTTCGAGATAACTCTAGTAATTTCAACAGAAGTTGGAATGTGGCAGGAAACAGACCGATGTTATGAAGAAAAATTATCCCCTTCTCTTCCACCTTGCATATCAATGTTCAGTTTTAGTATTTCTCACCTGAGCAGTCTGCTCTCCCGAGTACTGCTACAACTGGTGGACGAAGTGACGCTGTTAATGCTCCTGCTGCGTCGCGTCTTTAATGAATCGCCCAAGTTGGAAACCCCGTTCGCCGTTATGGAGAAGGATCGTAGCCTGTAATATTCCACCCCGTCTTCGGTCTCGCCCTCCTCGCCTCCCGTTGCATTGCTGCGTTTCGTATCGGCCAGCATTGGCTATAACAAGCAACAATTACGTGGGATCAATTCACTTAATTTTTTCTAGCATGTACGGATATCTATTTCATATCGATTACTGCGGAGGCAACACGCGTAAACTCTCGAAAGATTAAAAGTTATTATAAATTGGAAGAAAATTATCGCTCATTCTTTAGTAATACTTTTTAATTTCAGATACTATTAAATATAATATTACACTGTTAACGTTTATATATTTTAAGGGATAATTTTGAAAAATAATTTGATGCATTGCACAGGAAAAATAAATATTCCTACCAAACGTCATCGATAATCGACAAACCGTGTTATACATGATACATGCGATTCTCCGACGTATTTGATTAAATTAAATTAAATCAACATGATGTAAATCGAGATATAAAGCTCTGTAAATTATACTGAACGGCCTTGCACCATCGGCAAACACCGATCATTTGTCGTCCTTGCGAAGCAAGGTAACAGAAGGTGACAAAAATACGCATCGGGTCCTCTATATTAGGGTCAGAGCGAATCCTAACGCATTCGCTGATCGATGCAAACCTTGTCAAGTGACATCATCCCTCGCATCATTCAGGGTTTAGCTCATGTATATGTATGCACTTACACGAATGCACCGCGTATCACCCTCGGTTCGAATGTTCCTCGATCCGCATTCATCGATAGTTCGAACCGATAGTGCCTCACTTCCTTCCTCGATCAAGTTCACTTCATTATTCTGATGACTTTGGCAGTAAAGCGTGAAAAAAGCATCGACCTCGTTTCTCTATAAAAGTCGCGCAATTAATCGGTCTACTTCTACTCGAGTCCCATTCGAACCCGCGACGAACAATTGACATTGACCATGTTTTCGTCATGTCGAGGAATTCTCGCGTATGTCGTCAGTTCGAATTACATCAGAGCTCCAATCTGCTGAGTCTCAGATTATCCAACAGGACTAAAACGTACGTTCTGATAAAAGAGAAACCCGAGATGACTAAATTGATTATCCCGATTTATAAATGGAATATCAAATCAAAAGGATTGCATAGTAAAATACGCGATCCGCATTAATCTTGAACAATTAATAAATTGAGGGTAAATGGAGAGTATAGAACAACAACTTTAGAGATTTTGGAGATTTAAATATTTGAATAATTATGCATAATCGCGCTGTGTTAAGAAAGAAAGACAGAGAGAAAAAGATTTTATAATTATACATTTTGTAATAACATATTCTATTAATATCAGAGAAAAAGGGAGAGCAAATTCTACAGAAACAAGAAGATAATTTATTCCACGATATTCCTGAATTCGTGATGGAGGTACCAAGTTTCGCTGATCTCGGGAAAAGCGCAAGGGATGTCTTCAAGACGGCCTATCACCAAGGCAAGGGCCTTATCAAGCTCAATGTCAGGACCAAATCCGCCAAGAGATTTCAGATGATGAGTGACACAACTTTGAATTTCGAGGCATCAAAGGTAGACTGATATTTTGTATAAAAATTATTATCGAACATCACATTATCCGCATCCGAATTTTTTAAATTAAACTTTACAGAATAATGAATATCTTGCCACAGAAACGAATTTTTTAAATTAAACTTTACGGAATAATGAATTTCTTGTCACAAAAACAAATTTGATCTATATATTATTGCGTGATAATATAATATTGTTTCATATATTTACTTATAATTTCGTCGATTGTTCATGGAAATGATGTGCTGAGCGCGTATCCTGTGAAAAATTTTGCGAGAAAATGTAGCTGAATCAACTATTTTATATGCGGCAATATTTGCTTTTAATTATATATCGGATTATATGAGCAATATTATGTGCGTATGACTGAGTTCGAACACGTGGCGAGCCGTTGCCCTAAAAGCGGAAAAAGCGGTGGTTCTTCATTATCTTTATAATTTATATGCATATAGTAATATTTTAATATTCATAAAATAGTTATTTTATCGCAGCATTAATAGATTCAATAAATGTCGTTTATATTTTTTTGTTTTTTAAATGGCGTATTGAAAATCGAATTGTAATAGTTTATTCGATATACAATCCCCGAGTAATCTTGAAATCAGAATCGCTTGGGTGAGATATAAGCGTTAGAGAGAAAATTAAATAATTTATTCACAATGAATTGATGGCACAGTTAAGCGGTTTAATGGAGACGAGATACAAGGCGGACGCTGGAGCCCTGTTGCTAAAATGGACGACTGAGGGCGTGCTTTTTCTGGGCTACGAGTTTAATGGGCTGCTAATGAAGGGCGTTGATTTACTCTCCGAATGCGCTTACAATCCACAGACATCCGCGAAAAGCGTGAAGGTCGGCTCGAAATTCGCCAACGAGAGGATCAACGCACACTGCGAGATCTGTTAGTTTATACATTTTAATTAAATTTATATAATTAATTTTACGCATTTATCGGAATTTCGCGATAGACTTTTTTTTCGCTTTTCTCGGAGGCAAATGTCAACTTTTTCTTCTGAGAAAGATTTCAAAATTAATTGTTTCATTGACAATATCTGTAGACTTGCCGGGCTTCTTTATGAAGCACAAGCGGTAAAATTCGAAGAACAAATTCATTCTCTATTTATAAGTTTTGCAAGGTAACAGCTTCGATTAAGTCGTTATTTGAACGATGGATAAAGGGCTTTACATACTACGTTTATATTCTCATCTATAAGGGGTGGATGAAGAAGACTGATTATATCGTGATGTCTTACGAAACCAGCCACTTTAAAAAAAATGGCACATCGAGAAGAGTACTATGCCATTTTTAAAAATATTGAGAGTACAAAAGATTACTAAAACATCGAGATACCCTTAATGTGTACATCTTTCTCCCTTTCCCCGCATTTTTATTTCCACATGTACTCGCATTCGACGATTTTTCTCTTATGTTTTTTGTAACGACAGATATATAAAAGCGTAATGTATAAAAGAGATTGCACATCGATCGGAACACTGTTTCGCTCGCTTTTGTCCTCGGGTAATTAATTTCACTTTCTCTCCCTCTTTCTCTTATCGCATATTTCCGCGATTGCATTTCAGAGAAAATTCAATAAACAATTCCTATCGTATATTCGGTGTTTGCATCGATAAACTCCTTTCTAACTAATATAGAAATGCAGCGCGTTAAATATTTCAGTATTCTGAATGTTTACTAACAAACCGCGAATTTCCCGCAAACACGAGAATTCACAATAGCCATCGAAACAGGCATTTTCGGAAGTTTTGACAGCAACTGCGAAATTGCATTTTGTCGATACGATATAAAAACTTTCGCGTTGAACTTCAAAGAGATAAAATAGATATTACAAATCTCTCAGCGCACAAAGACGGATGAATTAAATTTCGTCAAATAAGCAGGTTTACAAACAGCTTCAATGAAACAGAGAAATAATTTAATTGAAGTCAAGTTTTGGCTTTTAAAATATATTTATAAAATACCGTTTTGTTTTATATATAATTCGCGCACAGTGAAATCAAATAATTTTATATCTACCTCTAAAAAATATCTCACAAGGAAATTTTCATCAATTCAAAAAATTTTGAAATTTTGAAAATACATAGAGAGCATTGTGATAAATATATGCTATTTCTGTTTAAGAATTTATTTTGAGATAAAATAAATTTTTGACAATTAAGTTATCTTATATTTTTATTGCATTGTTTTTAAATAAGAGACATACAAAGAATTTAGAAGAAAATTAATTTAAAAAAGAAACTTTGAAATATAAGTTTGTGAATAATAAAGTAAAAGCGAAAAATAGACCAATCTTATGTGATTTATTTTATCACATCAGAGAATTCAGTAATCAAAAATAGCAAAATTACTTATCAAGATACTTTCTATGTATTTTCACAACATTTTGAATTTCCAAGTTGGGAACGTTTGCTTGTCAATTATGCGAGTAATCGCATTAATGTGTCAAATGTCAAATCATGCGAATTATCGAATTTCCAGCCAACGATCTAAATTCGGGTACCAGTTTGCTCGGGACAGTGGTGGTGAAATGCAAGGATCTCCTCTTGGGCTGTCGAGCCGGCTACGACACAGCCCTGAACAAGGTGACGAAGAACGACATCGGTCTGGTTTACGGTTGCCCCGATGTTGATTTGCATTTTCGATGTACTTGTATACCACACGAGTACGGGCTCTCTGTGTGGTATAAAGGTAAACGAGAGATCCATAACACAATATTTATGCTTACGCGATTCTGCAAAAATCAACGTGCTCTTCTTTGTGTGTAAAAACACTGTTAGCGATGAAAAATAATATCTTTTCGAGAATACGAGGCAATTTTACTCTACTTTAATAATGCTCTCTTTTACTAACCTCCCCTTATTTTACATGCAGTCGCGCATCGTCGACGAGCAGAACCATTAGATTACCTCTCGCGTACTAAGTAATGGGGGTTAAACGTGCCTCGTTCAGGCGACTGTAATAAGATCCCGTTGTTCCGCATTCAGATAGGCGGAATATGGTTGTGTAATACAAATCGTTTAGCATATATGGGCGTATGTTACGTCGGCGTTATCAATATCCTCGGTCGAGCAAGGGTGATAATTAGCGGCATTAGCGTAAAAGGGAGGAAAGGTTTACGATGGATAAAGACGCGTAGCAACGCTCGGAACGTAAGCGGATACTATTATATTCGCGCAAAAATCACGTAGCATTGCACGTGAGCAATCTTGTTTAAAATCGTAAATTAAAAAATCAAATTAATTTCTCTTAAATGAAATCAGAATATCAAAAGTAGGAAATAATCACTGATGATCTCGGTTATAAGTATAGCATTGCAAGTCAGTGAATTCTCACGGAAAGAATCAGTTAGTAATAGTGACTCTGTTTCAATCAATGATAATTTAAAAAATAATTTAAAAAACGTCATATTATAATATTATATATATGAGATAAATTTATAGAGCATACATTCTGTTAAAGAAACATTTGATTTTTTGACAAAAAGTCTTGTTTAATTTTTATGAGTTTCACATTTTAAATAAAAATAAGTATAAAATGTATATAATTCTGGATTTAAATAGTTATACGTACTTCATTCCAGATTTGTACGGACGCTTCTCTAAAAAAAATAGCAATCCAAAAAAATAGAAAAAGCTTTAAAAACTAATCTTGTTGATCACTAATTTTTCAGTAATAATCTCTTTCTCATAATAAATGGAATATAAAACAGACAGGAGCAAAATGCGAGCGTTTTTACCGAAAATCAGTGAATATTTGATGAAATTTTCATCTCCGATAAAATCTGTGTCATTGCTTTAATCAGTGTCATTTATACTGATTCAGTTTAAGAGAGATTGTTTGGGAAATCTAGCTGTCTTTTTAAACAGCGTCGCAAAAATTATGACGTGTCATAAAATATAATGTCTATAATCTTGATCTATGATATGTATATATATATATATATTCGTGAATTCTCTTCGTTCCACCAATCGCGATTATTTGTTTTATCCTTTAGTGAATTTATACTGATTCAGTTTAAAAGAGATTTGAGAAATCTAGCTGTCTTTTTAAACAGCGTCGCAAAAATTATGACGTGTCATAAAATATAATGTCTATAATCTTGATCTATGATATGTATATATATATATATATTCGTGAATTCTCTTCGTTCCACCAATCGCGATTATTTGTTTTATCCTTTAGTGAATCCTGACATGGATGTCGCGGTCAATGGTATATTCGCGAGACGGGGCGACGTGCAAAAATGGACTGTCGGTGCCGGGGCGAAGTGTAAAATCGACGACAGCTCGACTTTGCGATTTAAATTCAACACTGATTTACAATTGGCCACGAGTCTCTTGCAGAAGCTAAACGACGGAGTCGCGTTAATCCTTTCATTCAACATCGATTGTGCGAACATTACCAGAGGCGGTCACAGAGTCGGATTGGCACTCAACGTCGAAGCTTAAAATTGCAAAATCCTTTTTTTTTTGGCAGATATTGCGCAGCATACTTATATCATCTATTGTCTCTACGTGACATCCATCGCCGCAAAATTCAACGACTAGATATGTAGAGATATATAACCGTATTTTATATAAGGATTGTACATTATATATAAAAAATCGATAAAACAAGGGGTTTTCTCTCGAAAGGTATAACAAATAAATTCCTTTCTTTTTTTAATTTAATTCAAAGTAAATTAAGTTGATTCGTTACGTGAAACCTGCGATAATTACAAATTCACGTTGACGATATTCAATTTCAAATCTGACAGTTGAAACGGTGCATCAACAGTTTCCAGCATTGAAAAAATTAGAGACTGCATTAAACAATCTATAATTACAAAATTTGCGACAAAATTCAAGATAGATTACCATTTATAATTTTATGTGCCATTGTATCCTAAAAGTACGTGTATATTCTGATATATATCTTATTATATACGTGTGTATATATATCTTGTACAAAAATATTATTGTATTGCAAAATTATAATTCAGACACTGTCTCAAGTTTTGCGGTGTGAATTATACATTCTTTAAACCGGGTTTAATCAGCAACGCGGAATTGATGCTAATTTTTCGCGATAGCGGTCTGTACATTCTGTCCGTCGTGTCGCTTCGCGATTTTCCATCTCGCATTCTGCGAGGCTGAAATTCGAGAAGAATGACAGCCGCGACATTTCCATCGCTATTGTTTCGCCGTACGTTTACGGCCCGATGCATTCGATTTGATTTGTGTCTGTATACGTACGAAGCTCGCCATCGCGCCGTCATAGAGAAGAAAGCCTTTCGGAGCAACATTTTAAGCTATCGTCGACAATGGCCGAGGAAATTAATTCAATTTCACACGTGCTATCGATCTGCTGTTAAAGCTCATTATGCGCGTACCGTTTGTCTGCCAACCGCGTGCGAATCTCTCCGCGAATCATAAATTATTTTCACGGCGCAAGATAGTCATTATGCGAAACACGGGGGGTCTTCCAGAGGAAATTTTTCAAAGCTCTCGCTCCCGCGGTTTCCTTTACCTATATTATTTTTCTTCGAATATACACTTACCCTGTGCCGTGGAACTGCCGGCATGCTGCTGGTCCTATTGCGATACTGGCTGGACCCGCGAATTCCGGCCGCCGAACCGGAAGGACTCGTCGGACTGGGTCCGCTCGGACTCGCGTTCGCGCTCAGATGCGACAAGGACGATAAGGTGCCGGGACTTAACGCCGGTGTCCTGGTGGGGCTTCTGGCCGAAGGCGACAGGTGACCCCAGGGACCGGCTTCCGCTTGCAGAAACCTAGACGAACGAAAATAGAATATTCCACACGTGATACATGACGCGTCACCGGCATGTTATCGTAAATTTCTCTCCGATCAATTTACATTCGTCGCTCAAGCTGCGAGACGAGATACAGCGCGATTCGCGGAAATACTGGCGATACCGAGGCTTTCAGCGCCGGTTTGGACAGATTGATTACCGAACGGACGAAGTGTCGGATTTACGGGTTTACGTAATGATCAAAGATTAATCAATCACTTTTACGAGGAAACACAACGACCTATGCAAATCCGGCGTGGGTCTGGCGACCGCGATGCTCGAGCTTCTGCGTCTGGAGGGGATCGGCGATTTTAATCCGTCTGTGCAGCTGTGACCCTGAGATCCGGACAACGTGGTGCGATGCAGACGAACCTCCACCTCGCTGCTTCGCCTCTGGACAGTCCTCTTGCTCCATCGCCGATTTTTTGCGTCGACGCTTGTGCCGTCTAACTTTCTACGAAGGTAGTGATGCGGTTTGAAATTTCAAATTTGCAGATATAACGTTTGATCTAATTTGCATAATTCCTTTTTAGGAGCTATGCAAATTAAATCGAACGTTATATCTGCAAATTCAAAATAGATTCTATTTTTATTTCTATCGATTTTTCGGGTACTAAGTTGAGTACTGCCACTTTGTTTCGATTTCCTATTAAACTCAGAGTCGATTGATTTGTTAAGCAGGGAGGTAGCGTTGGAATCGCATCCGCGACAACATCTAATGCGATTGAGAATCCCAAATGGTTTCAACCAATGCCAAAGACTTCCCACGCACGTTCGTTACATGCCGCGAACTCGATGCGACGCGAGCGCAACAGCCCGAATAATCCTTTAATTTGAGAAATGTAATTTCGAGAGAAAGTTGCAGTCGAGTTCTACTCCGATTGTGTGTTAGCAAATAGTATTGCTTTATTATTGCCTTTTTCGAAAGTTGTTGGAATTTTGTATGTTCGGTTGTCAAAACGTCTATTCAAACAATCCGGTACGTTATTTTTTTGAAACATCGTTATTTTACAATAATAGCGTACATTAAAGCCGCTAAGTAAACGATACACTGAAATTATTCCTTGCTTAATTTGATAATATTATCTATAGCATCGATTATGATTTAATCGCATTACGTCGATTCAATCAACGTCCGCGTGTACCTCTATTTATAGTTATTTAATTATACTGAAATAATCGATGGGACATGAGATTCTATGTTTAGTAGTTAATCAAGTCTCTCACACATAAGTTTCAGCAAAGATGTTTTAATATTGTTTTTGCTGTTAATTAAAAATCAATTTATAGAGATCCCCCTCTATTCAATAATTTATTAATTTTCTTTTATTTTTTAATTAATATATTATTTAATATCGCTCTTCTTCGAAGTATACTTTGATATAGAGACTGCTTGAATTAAAGCGCTATCTTTTTTTCACAAGATAATTTCAAGAATTTTTGCCAAGAATTTGTAATTTACTATTATTTAGATAAATTATACGCTGTATATTATTCCATTGTTAATTACTTCGGTATAAGCTTGTTCTCGAGCATGCTGGGTAAGTCGTCACCTTCCTCGGTAAGTGCCGCGAAGAAATCTTGAAACTTGTCTGGGAAGCTACTCGGCGGACAAACGTTCATGGAAATGCGCTCGGAAAGGTCCGGAGAAACTTTTTCGACGATCTCATGATGATCCGCCACCGTGGACGTTGCCATACAGCTACTAGGAACTTCGCAAGTTGTCATGTATCGCGACTCTTTTATTGTTAGATCCGCTACGTCTTTCCCTCCATTCATACACCTCACGTGGTCTTTCGTCAAAACCTAGCGTCGCTCGGCTAAGAAAGGATTAATAAATTCGATCATGGATTAATCCCAAACGTACGCTCGCGATTACACAGTTTCCGCGATTTTTTCGAAGCTCGGAAGTTTGTATAGAAGAGGGAAGACAGCTGAAATATAATTTTTATTTATTTAAACAGTGAGTTAAAGAAGCGCGCGCACACTATTTATATAACGTAGGATTTAAAGCACGAATCGAATTCAGCACACTGATAAGAGTAAAATGCAAAGTAGCCGCTTTCAATAACGATGCAAACACCGCTTTCACTTTCATTTAATTGCCCGACGATGCGGTACCGCCACTACGGACACCTTCGCGACGCGATCTCTACGATCGAAGTGCATTTATCGTCCTTAAAACGAGCAATTCGCGCCACGAGGCGACCTGTCGGAGTACAATGAAAAAACTTCTGGGGTGCAACCCTTTTTTCGCGACGAGGCCCTGGCGAAAACTAAAGCTCGCATGGTTGTTGCACGTCGTTCTGGCTCCGGCACCTCTTGTTGGACTTGCGCAAGCGTGATTCACCCTAAAACTCACCCGAGAACGGGTAGATTCGCGGTAATGTCGTAAAAGTGATCTTCCGCTCGTTCGCTACAGCCACCGCAATCGTCATAGAGTACCGAAATGAAAGGACGCTTTGTAATCATTTGGAAACCCGAGAGAGAAGAGAGAAGAAAAAGAGAAAGAGAAAAATAGAGACAGAAATAAACGAGCTTGCTACGAGAAGATTATAACCCTGATTTTGTAAAAATTTCCCTTCTCGTAACAAAAAAAAAAAAAAAATGTGGACATAATTACAATTAATTTAAAAAATCTAGAATTTTACATTTAAACCTCGTAAACGAGAAAAACGTGATACGCGTAAGCAGAACGATAATTTTCCGGACGTTATTGAAGAGAACGCGATAATAAGATTGCTAGAGATTATCTTCCTTCCGATTAGAGTCGCGCGAAATTACTTCGGGTTTGTGTCACGTGAATGAGAAAGAGCATGAGGAGTAATTTCATCTACCTGAAACTCGTTTGCGGAACGTGTGCTGATAGAAAAATTCAAGAATAAAGCCCAGAGAGTGAATGCGTTGTGGAAATTCAAAAGAAAGAGAAAGAAGAGCAATTCTCTTTTTAACAGATGATCCGATGTAATTTAAGCGATGATAATAAACCCTGATTTTGTAAAAATTTCCCTTCTCGAAAAAAAAAAAAAAAAAAATGTGGACATAATTAACATTAATTTAAAAAATCTAGAATTTTACATTTAAACCTCGTAAACGAGAAAAACGTGATACGCGTAAGCAGAACGATAATTTTCCGGACGTTATTGAAGAGAACGCGATAATAAGATTGCTAGAGATTATCTTCCTTCCGATTAGAGTCGCGCGAAATTACTTCGGGTTTGTGTCACGTGAATGAGAAAGAGCATGAGGAGTAATTTCATCTACCTGAAACTCGTTTGCGGAACGTGTGCTGATAGAAAAATTCAAGAATAAAGCCCAGAGAGTGAATGCGTTGTGGAAATTCAAAAGAAAGAGAAAGAAGAGCAATTCTCTTTTTAACAGATGATCCGATGTAATTTAAGCGATGATAATAAAAAACGAGAAAGTAGAAAGAAATGGAGACTGAATATCTTAACCCGATTAGAAACGTTTTCTCAACTTCCGATCGCGCCAACTTATCGGATATCTGTTCACGGAGGGAGATTTCTTTTCCATGACTTTCATAAAGATTCGCCGCTCAATTTCATTCGAATAGCGTTTGATCCGTTAATAATATTCTCGAATCTGGAATTGTAAGTAACCAAAAAAATATCCGCCGTATTCCTTTTTGCGAAATGTTTCGTAAAAAGCTTACAACACGCTTTGCACGCTTATTAAAAAACTCATTTAGTTCCATCGTCAAAGGATCCGGGAGGGAAAAAGTAATTGAAGGTCCTTTAAAGTAATTGAAGGGAACAAGAAGCTCGCACGATCTTAGTCAAGATCTCGTGTCTTCTTCAACGTAATTCGAGCGATGTGTATGAATACGTGCGTTGCATGTAAAGGACTGATAAATGATCCCAAAGTAAATCCATGAAATAGGAACGTATCCGCAGGGCTTTGTCGACGCAGAGTTCCATCTTGATGCGGGTCGAGAGCTCTCTTTTTTTTTCCCCCGCGTTATTAATCGATATGACGCGAGAGCATCTCGTTTTTATATTGAAAACTCTTCGCGAAATATTGTAAAAGATATGCGAAATCTCTTTTTCGCCAAATTATACTCGGGATTACTTTTAATGAAAATATGTATCACTTTTGTCCCGCGGCTCTAGTCTCTTCTGCTTTCTGTGTCAAAATATCTAGAATTAGTCTCTAATATTCGAATAAAATCAATTTAAACGTTTTACACGCAATTCAACGCCATATGGCGTGTAATCTCGGGGATTTGACAGATCGATTATTCGCGTAATGTGCTAACGCGGGTATGGCGATAAAAGGCTATTCTCTATCCTGGCGGGAAATGCAGGGAAGTTGGATGTTGTAATCTGTAATAATCCACAGATATTTCTTATACCTGTAACAGGCGAGTTAGATATTAATATTAGATAATAATTAACTATGAGCGAACTATTATGCGGGCAATAGCAAGCGGTGTCAATAGTTTCCTGAATGCTCTGAAGAGAGACCGAGTTACGGAATTAATTAGCTTACGGAACATGTTTAACGCTGCAGAGGTTTCGTACATGTTCTCGGTGCATCAACGTTAGACATATAAAGTAACCGATACTCGATACTCAAAACTGCGGTCATGAAAGAGACGAGGCGCAAAGTAGCCTCGCAAAGTAATGATCGTAATTGCATGATTAAATAATTATTACTGTTGCGTCTCCAACTAGAAATTATCGTGATTTCGCCGACGAAACTTACCACTTTAATTTATCGAAGAATTTTTCTTTCGATAAAAAGAAATTGAAAAATTTTCCATAGTCGGAAATTGTTGTAAAAATGAAAAGCATTTTATATCAAGAGGATTTTTTAATATTTTAAAATGCAAGAAGTTGGCACGTGCGGTTTTTATCGTTAATTAACGAAGAATATTCGCTGGAAAAACGATTTCCCACAATTATTTTAATTCCCTGCTATTGATAAGAATAAAGAGTCGAGGAGAAATATTTGAACTAAACTGAACATAACTTGACCTCGTGGTTTCGGGAGGCTTCTTGTTCTACGGGGGATCGATCGACGCACGTGGCTGCGAGCGAACGGTGGCAAAACAGAGCTTCGTGATAAGAGCAACAGCCTCCGGCGAACATCGATAACATTCGGTTGCAGCTAATCGTGGCACGCCGTTACCTTAAGCCACGTTTGGCGGTGATAAGAAAACACATGCTCATATCTTGCTTCGATTAAATTGATTAAATTAAGCTTTCTCAGAATTGTCTCAAACTGTCGTAGAATATTTTGTTTCCTGTCTCACGCATTTTATAATAGCTTTACGTAATTTTATCGATTGCACAAAATTCCTAAAATTCGTTAAATTAGCGTTAAGTCGATGGTGATGGAAGAGAGAGACAGAGAATGAGAGGAAGAAAGAGATGACGGTTTCCTGTTTTCATAGATCAGCATCCACAAATTCTCAAGGATTCACAGGAAATTATTTTTTATCCTTCAGCATTTTTTTCGAAGTGTTAAGGTTTGCCATTGACGCGTTACATTATCATGGATTAGAATGCGGATGTGTGTTTGTGAGAGACTTCTTAATCTAACGCAACCTTTGTTCATCAACTTCGTCGCCGAAACCTTTGAAGTTCGTAGTTTCCTCTGAACGCCCAACAAAGTTCTATACCTTCCCTTCTTCTCGTCCGCTTTTCGATTAATTGCGCCTGAAAGAGGTTTGGCGACGTGCGACATACAACGTCCAATAAAGTTACAGTTATTTTTGAACCAATTATTCCGTGAATTCTTTCTTCCGTTTTTTTTTTATAGGATCTAAGCCTTAAGAGTTATTTTTAACGGAAAAGATGTGGGTTAATCCTTGATCCTCCAGTCAAGTCACTTTTCGCCCTATCTTTGTAGGTTTTTTTTACTTGTCGCTCCTTCGTCGGCCAATCTCAAAATTCGACGCGACTATTACGACGTATTATCAATATACATATATAATAATTATCTAAACGTACAACTACGCACAAATACGTCAGCGCATTCCGGAAACACAAAGTACACGCACACCTGCTCGATCGAGTAGGTGTGACAAGCGTGTCGGCTGGGTGATTGCTAGTAGATCGATCGAACTCTCGATTGAGCCTGACTGGTCACTTCTCCGTATCAGCAGCCCTAAGAGGGAGACAGACAGAGATAAAGATATAGCGTGGGTATATATGAGAGAGAAGAAGAGAGAGATCTGACGCGATAAATAAAGGACCGGCGATAAGTAACGCGAGCGACGGGAGTATGTGCGGGGGTAGCGAGATCCTATTCACAGATCGGTGACCCTCTCGAGAGTTCGCCGAGGCGAGGAGACTTTCTGGGCCGTGAAGACAATGCATCGAGCCTTTCTCCACTGTCGCCGCGCTTATTCGTTTTTTTTTTCTTTTTCTAAATTGTGACGAGAGAAAGAGAGAGAGAGAGAAAGGCGAAATGCGATGCATCGCCGCGATGCAGATAAAACGCGTTCCACGGCATTGTATGAAGAAGGCAAGGTGACTAATTAAGAGCCACGTAAGCGAGACTTCGACATGTATTGTGCGGGAACTTTATCCAGAGGATAGATAGACGAGAATAGATACATAACGTATCGCAATACGCTGATCGGCTGCTGCTGCTGATTCGAAAATTCGATTAAAACGATTCTAATCAACCGGTAGACCATACTATACATTAAACGAAACAATGATTAAACGAGAGAATGACCTCGTATTTATGACGACGCGAAATTAAATATGATTTGGAGCAAATTGGGGAAAACTACAAATGCTTACGCATTTGAGAGACATGAAAAAAATAGAGACAAAAATTAATCCAGACTTCGCAATATGTATGTACAGGGTATTTCAACATGGCTAGATTCAACGGTTTCAACGACAGATTCTTTGGCCAATTTTTCCTCGAAACATTAATAATTTTGGGATTATAAAGCTTTTAACGAATTAAAAACTTTGAGAAATGCCAAATTACATTTTTTATTTAATTTTACATGCAAAGTTTGCTTTAATTTTAATTTTAATTTCAGTTACTATATATATGTAATGCAAACATTTTAAAAATTGCAATAAATAATTATTTCACGATATTATCGCGCAAGATTGATTTCAAGGCGGCTAAAGAATCTGTCATTAAAAGAACATTCGGGGTGCTTTTTTATGAAATTTTGGGATACTAGTAAAGTTACGAATAAAAAATTTTTTGGTAACAAACATTATGTGGAGTAATTTATTACAAAAACGGCTTTGCATGATCGCGAACTGACAATTTCAACCGATTAGGGGGTGGAAAGGCTTTGTGAAGAGTATCTCGACGAAAAAAATAGATACATCTCTCGTTACACAAAGATCTCGAGAAAGTCCTTCAGATATTTCATCGCGGATGACGCGGTGAAAGCTGAAATAACACCCACATATAAAATGTAGGATAATATAGAAAAAAAAGATAAAAAAAGAGATAGAGGCGGTGAAATACACAGCGAAGCTAAATGCCGCTGTTATACGCCCACGTTTTTTTGCGAGGGCACAATAAAAATT